GATGTGGCATCATCTCCAAATTCTTTGCCTTTTGTCACCCTCCTCATAGTGCTTTCTTGTTTGTCCGTGGCCATCCATAAAGGATATCCTAACACTCGACCCATATTGGTTCCTTCAGTCAAGCATTCATTGGGCACCTATGCTGTAGTGACGCCCCCCTGGGCTGCTCTACCCGCGACTCCTTACTTCCCTCCCTCAGACCTTGTGTGGGTGAGGCGACAGCTGTGGCTGAAGGTTCAAACCTGAAGCCCCAAGCCAGGGAGACAGACTGAAGACAGAAAAAGACAAAAGGTGAGAGGCGGTTGAACAGGGAGGAGGTAGAGGAATGAAATGTCCATTTCTTGAATTTAGAGGTTCATTTTCCTAGAATAACAAAGAACAGCAATATCAGCAGAAACAGCAGGCGGAGTATATAGTAGAGGGAGATCCTGGAGACCCGTTACTCGCGTGCAGACTTGATCAGGATGCGTCATCTAGTTGAGCAGAGAGCATGCTGGGGGATGGCGACCAGCATTCAGTTCTGCAATCAAGTCTGAGAAGCAGCCCACCCTCCCCGCCTCCCACCGTGGCCAGAGGCAATGGCGTACTTTAATCTAAGCGTGCGCCAAGGCAATACAGCTGTGAGACGCCTCTGCCTGGAGCAGTATTGCTGTTTTAAAGCAAAAAGAGAAATGGGAGAGGGGCACCAATGTGGGGTTTGCTCTATTTTATTTTTAATTCAAGGGGAGAAAACTCTGAACAAGATTTGGTGGGAACCACCCATGTTTCCTCAGAACTTGGGTTGGGAGGGTCTTTTATTTGCAGCCGAGAGCCTCATGAGCTTGTTCTTTAGAAACTTTTCCTGGACTTTGTGGATTAGATATCTCAAATTCCACTTTAATTAATTAATTAATTTATTTATTTTTAGTTAATTCAGAAATAAGCCTCCTGAACTGAGCATCCTGAGACCTGGGTTCTAATCCCAGTCCTGCCACTGGGTGACCCTGGCAGGTCTTGTCTCCTCTCTTGCTCATCGTTTCCTCAGCCATAAAGTAAGAATGTGTCCACATCATCTGAGAGGTTTCAGCATACCCTGCTTATGCCCTTCTGTGGGTTCAAGATAATGGTCCAGAATGTCTAAATTGTTTAGTTTTTCATTGCTAAAATTAAAGGCACGAAATATTATCCATATACCATGTTAAATTAAGAAGCACTGTAACACAACTGCAAGAATTACATTAATAGCTGGCTCATTAACTACAAAGGACGTAGGAAAGAAAACCTTCCTACTCAATGAAAGGATCTGAGTTATGAGAACTCCCAGGATTCGGCCCACCTGCCCACAGAGGTGAGTAATGAAGACAGCGCACTCTGCTATTTATTCTGTTTTAATGGTGATGAATTTTAGACTTCAGCTCCAGGCTCAATTTGAGGCAAAATCTGATTATTTTGTTACTGCCCCCTCCTCCACGGGCTCTTGGATGCTCAGTCTCCCTCTCAAATTCCAAAAATAGGCTCTGGCTTCCCGTGCAGTGTGGCTGCACAGCTGTCGCTGCCATGTGCCCGGTTCATGTCACTGGGCTTTGCCTACCAGGAAGGTAATTGCTCAATCCCGTTCTCATGCCAAAGAGCTTCTCATTCCTGTTGCCCCCTCGGGACGGCTGATTCGTGAAAAGCCACAGCGACAGCGGGAAAGGGTACGCTTCCGCGACCAAAGGAAACATTTTTGCAAGGGACAGTGTGACGGCCACTCAGATGACTCGGATGCCATTTAGAGGCTAATTCTTGTTCTACCAAGTATTCGTGGCATCAGATGAATGTGGTCTGGGCTTTGGAGCGATGGCGGTGGCATGGTGATTACAGCGCCCGGCCTGTCTTTCCTGGTAGAAACAGTCCTACTGCCAAATCCACCTTCGCTTCTGGTAAGGGGATGACTTGGAGATGCCACTTGCTGTTCTGTGTGGGTGACTCGGGGATCTGCAGGCCCAGAGAGGACCCCGGATCCCTCTCCCAGGCCCACACGCCATCTCTTCACTGGACACCGGATGTGAAGAAGGGCCAGCATCTTCTCTCATCTCTCCTTTCCTCTCAGAGGCTCCAGGCCACTCCCCTCTGCCATCCCCTGCCCCGGCCCAGAGCTCTCCTCCCCTGCACTCCCCCTCATGCAGAACCCCCAAGCCCACAGGATCTGCTGCGTCTTCGTTTCATAACAGCTACATCACCACTAACGTGTTTGTACCGTTCATTCTGTGCCAGACAGTCTTCTAGGCAGTTCACGTGCATTTAAAACATTGCTTCATGTAGCCCCATGACCACCCTGTGGCTGGGGGTAAGGAGTTTGGATTAAATGTGGCCCCAGTGCCTCTCGACTGCTGTCCTCACCCCATGCCTGCCTTCTCTGTCCCCTCCCGGCCATCAGCCAGTGGGCCTGGGGGACTGAAGCAGCCTCTTAAAGGCCCCAACATGCACAAAACTCCTGTGTCTCCTTTTTTTTTCTTTTTTATTGAATTTACTGGGGTGACATTGTTTAATAGAATTATATAGGTTTTAGCACCTGTGTCTTAAAAGTCCATTTCATCAGTATTTCTTTTAGACTGGAACCATCATTAAAATGGGAATGCTCTTATTTTGTTTTTATAGTATATATTCTGTTCCCAATCTCCTCGCTCTATTAAAACTGGAAGTTTTTACTTTATCACATACAGATACGATTAAGGTGCAGAAAAGGGGTAGTCAAAGAGAACTGGGGTGAGCAGACACCCAGTCCAGGGGGCAGATGTTGTGGAGAGCAAATGCCCGGTGCCAGCCGAGTTCTTGGTTTGCTTGGAGGCATTCTTTGGGAGGGGCCTCCTTCCAGGATTGAGGAATGTCGACCTGCACTGTGTGGGGAGTCGTGTCATCTTGACGTCTGCAGGGACGTGGGGAGGACAGGTTATACACCAAGCGGTGTGCTTGGCATTGAGACTTCAGGAGCACCTGCAGCTGCCTGGGTGCTTTCTCAGGCAGCGCATCACCATATGTACGATGCCAGGAGCCCACAGGAAGAAAGAGGGGTGATGCCGGAGCCCAGACACCTCTGAATTAGGGTGAGGGGCCAGTTTGTTGTTATTGACTTCATTCCTGAATCCCTGTGTGATAGCCCTGTGGCTTATTGTGGGCTGTAGGTTGTTATAGTTGTGAGAGAGAGGCCCAAGCGGGGAGGGGTCTGTGAAGGATGTGGCAGTGAGTGTGGAGGAAACTTGTGACTCAGGACTCACGCCAGCTGAGCGCCTTGAGGTGGGCTGGGGCGCGGCATCCTCGCACGGGGTGCTGGTGGGCATAGTGGGATCTGGGAGGCTCCTTGGAAATTCTCCAAGCTGGAAAGACCTCAGTCCTCAGTAGCCTCGGGGGTCCCCAAAAGGCCAAGGGAGCAATGCCCCATTAACAGTAAAAGCTCTTGCTGGATCTCAGAAATAGCTCGGGCGCCCTGTGGCATTCTGGGGGCCGTTTAGCTGTATTTCGCTCTGTGCAGCATGAGTGGGCCTGGGAAGTGGGCGTGGCATGTCGGAGCAGCCGAGTGTGGTGCTGAGAGCTGCCTGGTTCAGACCTTGGCTCCACCAGAACCCGCCGGGACCTCACCAGGCACGCAGCAGGCTGTGCTCCGCTTCCTCGTCTGTGAGGGGAGGGACAGAAAGGGCCTGCCTGGACCTCGTGGGGTTAGCACGACCAACGAGGTGGCTCTGGTACAGCAGCTAGAATGGGTCCTGGCTCCATAGCCCATGTCATCCAAGAGCTGTGTCTTTGTCCGTTCAGGCTGCGATAACAAAATACACGGACCGAGAGGCTTATAAACAACAAATGCTTGTTTCTCACGGTTCTGGAGCTGGAAGCCCAAGATCATGGCTCCAGCAGATTTGATGTCCGGTGAAGGCCCACTGCTGGGTGGCAGGCTGCCAGCGTCCGCTGCTGCGGGCTCACACGGCGGGAGGGACTCCTCTTTTATAAGGACACGAGTCCTATTCATGGGGCTCTGCCCTCATGACTCAATCACCCTCCAAAGGCCCCACCTTCTGGCACCGTCTATGGGGATTAGGTTTCCACATATGAATTGGGGGGGGGGGCACAGCATTCAGTCCATACCACTTGTTAAGGAAACAAAAACAAGCATAGTCTAGTCCAGTGGTTCTCAACCTTGGCTGCACATTAGAATCACCTGGGAATCTTTTTAAAATCCTGATTTCTGGGCCTCATTCTCCGGAAAGTCTGTTTCTTTGTTACTAATGTTGTGGCCTCACCCCATAACAAAGAAACAGGATTTCCGGAGGATGAGGCCCAGAAATCAGGATTTTAAAAAGATTCCCAGGTGATTCTAATGTGCAGCCAAGGTTGAGAACCACTGGTCTAGACTGTAAAGTTGCAGCATCTAGCTTTTGATTCAGAACAGATGGTGTCAGCTGCTGCACTCCTTTCGTTCATCAGGAAAACAATTGATGTTTATCATTCCTCTTAGCAGTAGAGCTGGTAGGACACACTTACTTTTTATCACCATCGACCCTTTCTCTCCACATACCGGCTCCTTTGCTTAATCTCAGCCAATGTGATGATGAGTTTCTAAGTGAGTTCCCTAAATCAGTTTCTAAGTGCTGTTAGCTTTTCCTTGCTTGGTGTTCAATCCATAGCACCTGTCTCCCCCATTATCCCCAGCCCACACCTCCCCCCACCTGGGTTAGGTCGCCCCCCACTAACCCCATCTCGCCCACTTGTCAGGTGGGGCCTTGTGTTGGAGCTGTTGGTGCCCCTGCCTCTTTCCTCGCAGCGGAGGGAAAACTCCCCGAGACCAAGGCTTGTGCTTTCGTCACCGGTGGGTCGTCTTGGCGTCTGGCACAGTGCACGCCACCCCGTGGGGTGGGGTGGGAGATTGTGTTTCAAGCATCCAAGGAAAGCAGAGGTTGTCGGTCTCACTGCAGTGTGCATAGACCCAGACTCACGTGGCGTGTGACGGCGGCCATGCTCATGTGTCTGCGTCTCCTCTCTCCCACCAGTGCTTAGAGAGAGCCATGAAGTTCGCCTTCGAGGAGTTCCACCTCTGGTACCAGTTTGCTCTGTCACTCATGGCGGCCGGAAAAGTGAGTCCCCCTTCTGCGTGCGGTTCTCCGCGTCCACGCGCAGTGCCTTCCAATCCCAGGGGCGGTGGCATCCCTCACAGAGGTCTAAGCCATAGGAAGCTGCCCTGTGGTCATTTATAAATGAACAATCAAGTTTAATTATTTGGGGGCCAACACAGACACATCGTTGAGAAGAAGAATTCTGAAATATTTGCCTTTTTCTCGCCATTGTAACTTCGTCACGTGACCATGTGGCTTGAACTAAGGCTGGTGTCTTCACACTGGCCCTCTCGCGCATTTGGGAGCATCAACTGACTCCTGGGGGGGAAGTTGTGTGGTTCTCTGTGGCCGTTTGTTATATCAGGATGTGTCTGATGTTCGTGGAAAACGTCGGCTTTGGAGTCCAGCTGCCAGAGCTGAGGTCTGGGCTGTGTGACCGGGGCAGGTCACCGTGTCGCTTTCCTTTTTAGTAAAATGTAGCAATAATAGGGCCGACTTCTAGAGTGGTTAGTGGGTAAGTGAGATCAGACTCACCAGGTGCTTAGTATAGAACCCCCACGTGGTACGTACTCAATAAGGAGAATTAATTTGGGCCATTTAATGAATCTGCCATTTAGCGAATTGTTAAGTCTGTGATATAAGGTTATTTGGGGTAGGTGGAGACAGAAATGTAGTATGCTATGCTGTAAACCGTTTATTTTTCATTATAACACCAGGAAGGAAGAAAATGAGGGTGACTCCAGGGAAGCCTTTCCTCTGGTTTCACCCCAGTTTATGGCCCTGTCACTCAGGAACCCCATGTTCTGGTTGTTGCCATCCCAGGCCCCTGTGGGGTTGGGCTCCCCATTGGAAAACTGCATTAAGAGGACAGCTAACTAAAAGCCCCCGGGGAAGTTTTTAGTGTTTGGTTCTGTCAAACATTCCGAGTTTCACAGAAACACTCTCCTTTGCCAAGTCTGCCCGTGCCGTGAAGGTGCTGAAGGAATGCATTCGGCTGAAGCCCGATGACGCCACCATCCCACTGCTGGCCGCCAAGCTGTGCATGGGCTCCCTTCACTGGGTGAGTAGCTGGCCGCGCTCAGGGCAGGGCTGCCAGCCTGTTGCATTGCCAGGCAGAGAGGAAAGTGCAGGGACTCACCAGCTACACACACACAGAGCCCCAGACCCCGGCTCCTCTGGCCTCTCCATCCGCCCCTCTCCTACCCACCCCACCGCCCCCCCCCCCCGGACTGTGGGGAATCATCATGTTCCCTGGGGACTCCATTTTTTCTTTTTCATGGGAATGTGCTTGAAGAGTAGAAATGATAGAGTGGGAATTCATGCTCAGATACATCTGGCTGTGTGAAGCTAACGTAGGACTGAAGAGCGGGAGGGAGAGGAAGAGAGAGCTAGAAACATCTATGGGAGAGAAACATGGGTCGGCTGCCTCCTGCACACCCCCTACTAGGGACAAGCCCACAACCCAGGCATGTGCCCTGACCGGAAATCAGTGGAACCGGTGATCTCCTGGTGCATGGCACGGTGCTCAACAACTGAGCCACACCGGGCAGGCTGAACCCAGCTTCCTTCTTTCCTCTGCCTTCACACCCACTTCCCTCTTCAGATATTCTTGTTCAGATTTGGATTTGGGAATAGTATGATTTGTCACAGTTTTAGTACCTCCAAAATCTACCATTTCAATAGAAAGCTCAAACTAGCTGCTGAGATGGTCCCTGCCATATACAGTGCAGTCTTACTGTCTTTTGTTTGACTGCATATCAAGATTAGTGATAAGAAGCCCTGGCCAGAGCCTCTGCCCTCCCACCAAAGGGTCTCAGGTTCAAGGGCACATACCTGGGTTGCAGGTTCGCTCCGCACTGGGGGCACGTGTGGGAGATAACCAGTCGATATATCTCTCATATCGATGTCTCTCTCTCTCTCTCTCTCTCTCTCTCTCTCTCTCTCTCTCTCTCTTCCCCTACCTCCCTCCCCTTCCCACCCTTCCTCCATCCCTCTCTCCCACTCTCTGAAAAGCAGTGGAAAAAATATCTTAGGTGAGGATTAACAAAAAACAAACAAAATAACAGATTAGTGATAAGAACTCCCCCAGGAGACTGGGGAGACTTGCTGAGGTTTTTTGCCATTATGGTCCTTGCTGCTGGTGTTTCCCCCCATTTATTCTCACCCGACAGGACAGAAGTGAGCCTTGTGAAGAAAGTGTTCTACCTTTGTTAAATTTTATTTGGTAAATGTGGGAGGAAAAGACATTTTGAAAGAGCAGGCTCTCGCCTGAAACAGAGAGCTGTGAAGGTCTGGGCAGGTTTCGACAAGTGGGGTCACAGTGCGGGGCAGTGTGGGCAGCGGCGGAGTGGGCGCAGGAGGGGGCCCAGGAGTGGGCGCAGGAGTGGACCCAGCCCCTCCGTTTGAAAATGCGGGCCCCCAGCTGTGACCGCTGCCCTCCCTGCAGCATGACATTGCTCATGACTGTGACACACGTCTCCAACGCCTAAAGTAAGCCTACTCTCTTTTTTTAAAGATAAGAGTAACAAATCTTTTCTGTATATATTTTTTCCATTTTTATTATTATAACTTCCAAATGCCACAGAGTGTAATGAGCTGCCACATACTGTCACCCAGCCTCAATAGCATCAACATTTGCCATAGTTCGAAGGAACAGATCTTATTATTTGCCTCTAATATCCTGTGCGGAAGGCCTCATGGTGGGTGCAGTTCACAGGTGCACATTCTCTCACCGCATCTGCTCGTGCCAGGTCCGCGTGCTGTGCGGTGTAGAATAAATAGATGCAGTTTTGGCATTTTTAACAGCTTATAAGAAAGAGAAACCAAGCTTCAATAGATTCATTATGCTTTTAAAAATAAATAAATAAATAAGGTAAGACCCAAACACAAAACATTTCTATCGGGGTAGGCAATGCTGGTTTACAGGTGTAATACAAACAATGCAATAAGTAATATGTAATAATGCAAGAATAAACTCTGTTTTGCATACTCACTGCTTTTGCCCACCCCTGTATATAACATTCAACTTCTGAGCACCTTGCACAACCTACTTACAGAACCAATCAGTAAAAAGCAAAGGTGAAAAGGACAGGAGCCCACCGAGTAGGAGAGTGATTTTGGAAAAGAAGGCAGAGAAGCAGGAGGGAAACCTTGGCGGGAAAAGGCCAGGTGGGGTCCTCAGGACTGTCAGAGGGCCCGGCTAGAGAGACAGAATTGCCACCGTGGACTTGGAAGATTTGGGAGTCATTTTCACGGTGACTCATCAGAAATCTGTTCTTGGCAGCCGATGCTGCTGGTAACTCGTGCTGGAAATTCTGCAGGTTGTCGTTGTTTTTAATGTGTCTGGTTTTTCAGTTGGAAGAGGCTGAGAAGTTTGCCAAAATTGTCGTTGATGCGGAAGAGAAAACGTCCGAGTTCAAGGCCAAAGGCTACTTAGCTCTGGGGCTCACGTACAGCCTGCAGGCCACTGACGGTGAGAGAAGCCCCACCCACGGGCCCTGGGACACAGGCCGGGCTGCGTGTCTGCACTGCAGGGTTCCCACACCTCCCGCTGTCTCCGGCGGGCGCATAAGCTGGGCCGCTCTATGTGCTGTCCTGTGGGGCCCTGCTGCTGCGGTCCTCGTTGCTTGTGCTGCTTGACTATGGGAGGGAAGGAGGCTGGGCTGGTGGTGCACGGGGGGCCAGCTGGCAGGTGCAGGGGCCTTGAGAACCGATTCATCTCCCCAGCCTGGGCCTGCCTCTGCTCCAGCACTCGGCTGGGCAGTCCACCTGTGAAGGGATGTTGGGTTTTAGGCACAGGAATATAGGAGAGTTCAGGGCCAGCCTCTTCCTTGATTGGTCAGGACCTGCCCTTTCTCCATGCAGTCATTCTTTTCCTTTTAAAAAAAATATATTTTCACTGATTTCGGAGAGGAAGGGAGAGGGGGAAAGAGAGATAGAAACATCAATGATGAGAGAGAATCATTGATTGGCTGCCTCCTGCACACCCCACATTGGGGACCGAGCTTGCAACCTGGGCATGTGCCCTGACCGGAATCAAACCATGGCCCCTGGTTCCTGGTCGATGCTCAACCACGGAGCCACACTGGCCGGGCCCACTTCTGAACTGATTTTCCTGGTCCAGTGTTGGGCGGGTCAGGCCAGTCCCTGGTGTTCATATCAAGGTGGTAACAGTCCTGGCCGTTGCACAGTGTGAATTAAACGGGCCTTTCTTGGCCCAGGATCAGAGCTGCTCGGTGCCAGAGGCCCTCTGAGGCCGTCCAGCCCAACACCCATGGTGCTTGGTGGTCTACTCTGCCTCCTGGGAGAGCCAGGCTTCACCCGGTTACATGCCTGCATTTGAGAAAACAGCCGGACTCCTCTCTGCAGTTCCCGTTGGTCTTTTAAAGATGGCCCCCTCTGCCTGGGGCACCAAGAATGACCCTCAACTCACGCGGTCCCCTCGGCATCATGCCAAGTTACACCCACGAGTGCCAGGGCCCCGGGTTGGCCTGGGCTCCGTGGCCCGCCTCCCAGTGCCTGGGGCAGCACTGAGCACACACCCACCCAGAATTTGCTGCTCATAATCCAAAGGAATGTGTAGTTTTTGTGATGAGCTTTGTATTTGTCCGAAACATGCCACTGACTGATCGAACCCTTTTCAGCTTCGTTGCGAGGGATGCAGGAGGTCCTGCAGAGAAAGGCGCTTCTTGCATTTCAGAGGTGAGTGGGAGTTCATCTTTTCACTCGGCTGTGCATAATGACACCGCAGTGTGATGAGTATAAAAGGGAGAGATATTTATAAAGATTATGTAAACAGTGTTTTCCCCCTGGGAGTCTTTCCTCCCGAGCACTGAACACACATGTGGAAGCTCGCCGCATCATTTGTTACCGTGTAGATCTGCATTCTTCATCCGTCCGTCCTTCAGCCTTCGGGCACATTTCCTTCCTTCCTAATAAAGCCAGTGCAGCTCTGGGAAGACAGATGCTCTGTATGTGTAGGGAGATGATTCCTTTTATTAAAGACATTTGTCATCATCTAGAAAAGGGATCATTCTTTCCTAGCTTTTTTTTTTTTTGCCCGTGAAGCTGCAGATTTTTATATTAAGAAATGAAAAAGTCAGGTTTTAGGACAGTCTCTGAAATACGATGTGAAGACAGTCAAGTCGCCTCCACCCCTGTCTTGCTCCATAATGCCTGTGCTGTCTCCATCATGTACCTGCCGTGAAATTCGGAGAACGCTTTATAATTAGCACGTGCTTGCGTGTCATAGTGATCTCCCAATCCCTCATTTAACTCGTCCTCACCCACACCAGACAGGTGGACAGGACAAGCAGTGTGTTCACTGCAGGTGAGGGACTCGCAGGCAGGAGTGGGGAGTAACAGAGCCACATTGCCTTTGAGGTCAGGATAGCATCATCGTCTCCTGACTCTAACCCACCTTTTCTGGTACCTACTGCACTTCACTGCCCTGATTTTATTCTTATCGCAGCTGTAATAAATCACTAAAATGAATCACTGCTTGAACGTAAAGCCGCCTGATGGCAAATCCACAATTGCTATTGATCCTCTCACTTTAAATATATCTGTGTTACATTGCTTTCTTGGAATTGTATTAGAAACTTAGTTACTTGCACCAACATTTCATGAGGACCTCCGTCATTAATACCCTTTGCTAGATTTCTTTCCCAGAACCGGGGTTGCCTACGGATTTACCGCAGGGTTCACCCCCCTGTCTTCATGAAATCATTATTACTTGGTTTCGGTTAGTCCGAAATCTTGCATCTCACTTCTGCTTCCTGCCAGGCTCGCGGGTTGTGCCTTCACCTTGCCCGTCCCAGGTTGGGTAATGACACACAGTCCGGATTGACACCTGCACACAGATCTGTCTGTGCTGAGCTTTTGTTGCCATTCTTCAGCATGGGAGAGGGGGAAGCCTTTCCATTTCAAACGATGTGGAGTTTTAACTTTTCCAGTCCCAGCTTGTGAAATGCATGACTGCCTCAGAAAGTGGCCATTACATCTGCTTCCCTTTTCTCAAGTCAGCACATCTCATTGGCTCTCTAACAACAGCCGTGGTGGTGGTCTGCCTTGAGCCGCCACAATTCGTAACTTCATGTTATGTCACAGCTGTTTCTTTGACCCGAATTCCTTCTTGTGCCTTTTACTTAGGTTTCAATTCAAAGAGATTTTCTAAAATATTAGTTCATGCAGAAATAAAGAGTAATAAAACCCTATTAACCTATGTGATTTATTGGCAAAGGCTAATGTAAATTAGTATTTGTGTGAAATAAAGAATATTTTTCAAGGAAATAAATTATTTTGTTTCAAGTACACATTAATGAGGGCTATTCTAGTACACTGTAGACCTGACAATCTGTAAGGAAAGATTTTAAGTAAATATGAATAATTTGTAGTCCTTCTTAAATGTAAATGGATATTTAAAAACCACTTGGATGAGAAGTACTTTTTTTTTGCTATATATTTAAATCCTCTGCCCACAATGCTGTTTATTCTATTGCTTGGCAATTTTTGTTTAAAAAGAAAAGAGTGTAACTCAAAAAGGGGTGGGGTTGCAGATACAATATATAAATATTAGCTCTTAATTATGCCTGGCGTCAGAACTCAGAAAGATTTGCTGTCGGGTAGATTAAAAAAGGTGGGTTTTGAAGGTCTCCCTCTTGCATTTCTGCATCTTAATATTGAGGCCCTCAACTGTTCGTACATCCAGAAGGTCAGCCCCAGCAGCTGGGCCAGTTCCTTCGGCCCGGACAGAGGTATAGTGAACAAGACCATGTTGTCTGCAAAGCTGCGAGCATGGTGCAGAGACGGCCCCACGTGCAGAAATCGGCTGCTCCAGGTGGTGTTGGTCGTGTTTGTCACTCAGTGTGAAACACGATCTCGCGTCATGGTGCTCTCCCTCCTGGCTTCGATTAAGTTTGCTTGTGGTATAATTGGTGTGTATGGAATGAGTGACCGTCCCACTTTTTCGGGAAGTGAGCAGCATCGCAGACCATGGGACTTTGAGTGCTGAAACCAGGGAAAACCAGGGCAAGTTGGTCATCCTGTGTGTGTCACTAATGGGAGGCTCCTGAGTGATAGATTTAGCCAGGTGTGT